GTGTCGTGTCCCCCCCCCACCCCCCTGTCAGCAATGTTTGTGGCTGAATTCCTAAACAGTGCCTGTGTTCTCGTCCCTACTGCTAGGAGTATTCCTATTGTTGAACCATTGGGCTGTCTTATGTACAATGCATACATAGTCCTGGCAAAGACCAAAAAACAAGACTCTTCATTCTCAGGGAAGTGTCATCCTCACTGGGGTACAGAGTCAGACTCTGTCTTGCTCTTTCCTCTACAAGCAGGGTTTCAAATCCATCTGGCCCCTTGCGCTGGATTAGTGGTGTGACGCTAGTCTTCAGGTCAAATCAGGTTTGCAGTCTTCCCTGCTGTCCCCCACCTCTCCTGCCAGATCCAGCACCCATAGCACCCTGGAATCTGTGCAGCACTTTTCCCACCCTGCTTTCTTCCATAAAATAGTTATTCTTGTTTTTGAAGTTCCTGCTGTTGTTAAAGAAAAAAAAATACAAAAACTCTTTGATTGTTCACCCTCAGTTGGAAAATAAGGTGAAGATTCTGCTAGATATGCACTGATGCTTTGTTCTGGACAACTCGTTTGGGACAATTAGATCAACTTCTATGGCTACTGATATTTTTTTTTTCCATTTTCCTTTCCAACTTTGTAAACTTAGTTGTGAGCTGCTGCTGCTTGTTTCTGACACTGCTTGTTTGATTTGCTTTTGGTTTTTTAGATCCATAGAAGTAAAAACAAGTGGAAATTTCACCTCAAGGATGGCATCATGAACCTTAATGGAAGAGATTATGTATTTTCCAAAGCCATTGGAGATGCGGAATGGTGAAGTTTTTAAGACAAAGCATAAAACTCCCCCCAAAAATTAAAAAAAGAAAGAAGCAAAAGCAGGAAAGGTTGAGACTTGGACATGCATTTCAACCAAAATTTATCTCTGCACATCAGAAAAGTACAGTATAAACAAAACTACCAGGACAAAGGTAGAGCGTGGCAACATAGACACTACTTCAGTGGGCAAGCCATGGGACTGTAGCAACTAGCATTGTCTGGGAGCTGGTTTTGTGTGTTAGGAATACCTTGATTATCATTCTGCATACAAGAACCTACAGCTGGTAATTAGCATGTAAGGCTTTGTCTCCCCTTTCTTCCCCCTGGGTTAAGGTTTTAAAATTTCCTCCACTGATTTGAATTCCTTTTTGATATACTAATAATCTGAAAATGCTTTGTGTGTACAAAACTTTGCTTTGAACACTTCCCTTTGATAGTGAAGATGGTCAGAATGTTGCTTAAAACTGTGTGCAGGCTTTGTACAGAAGGGTAAGAATTAAGGCGTTAAATTTTAATTATCTTCTATAAGAAAAACACTTTTTAATTGTACTATGGCCATGTATAATTTTATCTACATATTTTCCTTCATTCCTTCCCTCACTCACCTGTCCTCCCCTCTTTCCCTCCCCACCTCTTTCCTCCAAGAAATTCTTATTCTTAGCAGTTACAAAATGTAATATGATAATTTATACTTTAAAACCATTTTAATTTGAGTGATACCTTGACCTTTTGGGTCTGTATTTTTTTTCTTTTAGTGTTGAAAACCTATAAATCCTTTTCGAAAAATTGAGCCCCTTGACTCTTTTAAACATACTTTTAGCATTTGATAGAGTGGTTTGGGATGATGGAGTGGAGAAGAATGCAATGGTAGCTTTTATTTGCTGCTTAAAAGGCCTGTAAGACTCTTCAGATTGAAAACTGCAGGCATTCTGATTGCTTATTATATTCATTCCTTCACTTGCTCAGTACTTTTTTACAATCCAGGCATCCGTAAATATGGGTGGGACAGAACTCTGAATCTTCGTGTGTTAGGGAGAGGTTATATATATAAGCTTTTAATACCCAGCTGAAGTTCTGCTAATAAGGAGACTGGTTTAATTATAAAAATACCCCAGAGCTTTTTCTCTCCTTGTATAGTCTTACCAGTAAGTTGAAGTGTGCTGCCGTTAATGTCTTTAAAGCCTCTAGTGATGCATAGCTTTATGGCAAATGATGTGAAGCATTGATCATAAATTTTGTCAAGAGTAACTTAATAAAAAGGATGACTTGGTAATGCAGAAATAGTCATCACATACTTAAACCTAATGTAACAGCCTTTGCACTTGCCTATCACAAATGTTGTTTATGAAAAGCAAAACATCTTTTCCTTATGCAGTGGTTCTTCTTTCAGATCAGTCTTTCAGAAATTCAGTCCCTCTCCAGCAACGAAGGAGGAGTTGAAAACTTAGTTTTTAAGTCAGACATCTGTGAGGAGGAATGCGAATGCTCTGTGTGGCTCACCATTTCAAGATAAAACTATAATGTTCTCATTGCCTACCTGAAGTTGGGGGGTGGGGGAGAGGGGAGGGTAAAAACCAACAGAGGAAGCAAGTTTAACTTGAACAAGGGGAACACTGCAAAGTAGACTCTTTACTACTTTACTTGGCCTTTCTTCTAGTGGAGGATGAAACTGAAATTTTTTTATTTAACAAAATCAAAAATATATTTAATCAGCAGTATATATTAACTGCCTTCATTTTTGCGCTCTACTTATTTTCCAAGTGCATTCATAGTCTCAAATAGCATAGAGGAGATCCACAATATGTAGCAAGAAAGAAAACTGAGTGGTTATGTTTGGACCTGTGGTATTGCTGTCCTTTAATTCACAGGTAGTCAGGGTTTTGTTTGTTTTAGTAATTCACCTGTCTATATACATTATTGGCTTTATTACAAGCTGAGTTTCTGATCTTATTAATTCATTACCAACTAAAGCTGTAACCATTTTAGGATACATTTTTGGCTCTGGACTTAAAGGTTTCTCTCAGAATAGTATTTACTTTTTCTTCTGTAGAAAGGAATAATCTTGTTTGTTTTAATATACCACTGTTCATACTTTAAATTGTGTGCATCTTCAGTGAAACCAGTTTATTGATTAATAATTTCCTTTGCATCTTTCCTGCATCTCCAGGTAGTACTAATGCTGATTACCAGTAATTAATTAGCCTTCCCAATGATTTAGAACAAACCCCACTATGTTGCACAGTTGAATTGGTAAAAGTCCTTTAGCTACAGATTCCTTTTTATACTACTGGAACCCAGATTACTGTACAAGATATTTAGTTTCTTCTTACATCTAGGGTCTTTTGCCCAAGTATTTTATAGTAGAAACTGCATAGCCTTTTTATTTATTTTTAAGGAATACTACAGCTTTAAAGGTGACTTAAATTAAGCTTTTCAAGGAAGTTAGAAACCAACTGTATTTGCATGGTATCTTGCAAATTAATTGTAAGGTATGCTTGGCAGACAAGGCATTGGTCTTTCAATAGAAGTACCTGTGAAGTTTTCTAAAAGCCAGTCAAACATAAACATACCAAACTGTGCTCTTATTACTACATCAAGTGTTCCTTTTTTAAATCAGAAAGCACGTTTTAATTTTCTTATTGTAGCAGCTTGATGTAAGAATGTAGTTTGCTTAATTTTATTATTGTACTTGAATTTTAATCATGTTTTTAATATTGTAACTGAACAGACATTTTCATTAGGTTCCACAGAAAACCATTCCTTTCAGAGGGCAAGGGATTCCCGTGTTCATAGCATTTAAATTATTTTTTTCTTGAAAGTAGAAAATAGATTTTTTTTTCACTTTTTAAATAGTTCAGTATTATTAACGGTTTCAAGAGGGCTTTTGTTTAGATTTGCACAGATAATGGAGCACCTTTTTAAGATGACTAAATGGGGAAAGATAACTTCATAGTTAAATGTTTTAACCATGATGGCTAATGGAAATTTTAAAGAGCAGCTGGACAAAGTTTGGAGTCTTGTGCCTTTTCAATTTGCAGATATTCCTGTTTTGTCAGCATGGTTATTTTATTGGATTCCTAAGAGTAGACGTCCTACAATGCTTCAATCACAAATCAGCATTTTAGCTCTAATTATACTGGCTTTTTAATGTGTGCAATCATTTTAACACATCTAAATTGAAAAGAAATAAAAATATGTTGTCTGCTAAGGAGGCTAATAGAGGATTTAGTCTCATAAGGAACTTTATATTGGACTATTTAAATAAAATGTATAAAACTTTATTCCCCCAACTTGGTGGTAAGTGGCAAAATTTGAAGTTTCATCCACCTTATTCCTGCATTGCAATCGCAAGCTGCTCTTTCAACAACAGTCATTCCCCTGATTTTTACAGATCATGATTTTACAAGAACAAATTATGTTCATAGCTTATTCTTAAGGGGATGAGGCTGTTTTGAAGCAGTTTCTAGAACAGAGCAAAGAACATACTAAATGTGATGGAGCAGACCTTTGTTATAGATGTCTTTCTATTTTTTGCTGTAGTTAAGAGGGTAGAGTAAACTTCTGAGGTCTTAGGTTGGTTTTTTTCCCTTTTGTAAAAGTAATCCTATAATCTGTCTACATTCAGCAGCAATTGTCACCATAAAACACTACCAGAATACAATTCTGTAATTCCAGTGCAGGAGTTAAAAATGAGACCTTGTCTACTAGAGCTTATTCTCTCTCTCTCTCTCTCTCTCTCTCCCTCCCATTTGAAAATTTTTTAACGTTTTTTTTTATTATTATTATAGAATGCAATAATTTTCAGGACCTAGAACAGTAGGTTTAGGGAAATGCACACTGGATGTCTAATGCTCTCTCTTACATGGCTCTACAGTCTGTCTCTAAAGGTTTAATTCACACTTTAATGGTTACAAAAGATGGGGAAACTAGCACATTGTTACATATCTGTCTGGGATTCATAAATCTAGTTCTCATTATTCTGGGTGGGTGAGAAATACGCAGAAACCAGGCCTTTTGTTTCTGGCAGATCAGGTTGCTAATACTTACGCTCTTTTTTCCTTAAGCAGTTAACATAAGGCAGTTGGTTTGGTGGGGTGTTTTTTGTTTTTTTGCAACTCTGTTGGATTGAACATTGAGGAACAAAAGGAACTTTTTTTTAAACCGGAAGGAACTACCTTGGATTAGCTAGACATGCAGCCATCCAATGTTACTTGCTCCAGTATGCAATAGGGTACCAATAAAACACGGAGAGGGGGAATATCCTTTTTTGCTGTTCTGAGCTACTATTGTCAACTGCTGTTGTACATATACTGTTATGTGTAAGGGGGTAAATATATTTATTATGTTTGTAAAATTCATTCTGTACAATTGCAGATCAAGGTTGCTCTTCTGTGATATACAGGATATTATGTTTCGAAGGCCATGCTTGGAATACAATTAGAGAACTTAGTATTTTGATGTACTAAGACCTATTTTAAGTTTAATATTTTGCCTTTGCAAAAACTTTAATTAAAGATGTTATTTAAAAAATAAATTTGCCCTTTTTATTTACTATTTTGTATATGCATCTGGCTGATGCATTAACAATTGATTGAGCTGCAGTACTTTGAAAGTACTTGTATATCTTGTAATGAAGTACTTCAAGGTAAGGAAAGCATATCATTATTTCCTGCCTAGTTGAGTAAAAAATGAATTTGTTGCATAGTGTCTTCTATTTTAACATGGTTCACAATTTTTTAAAAAAATGCTTTTTCCTTTTAGGTCTGGAGGTTGAAATTTAGCACAAACCCAGATTTAAATCAATCCCTTAAGCAAAGAAATCATGATCCAGATCTCCAGTCTGAAATCCTTAGTCTGCAAAATGGATCTTCAAGACTATAAGAAACTTGGCAGACATGAGTCCACTGTTTCACTTCATTAATGAAGCCCCTATTTCCACTCTAGTCAGCCCATAACTATTATAATCGCTTTGTATTTTGTGATTTAATAACCTTGATAGAATTTTCAAGTCTCTTATAAGACCAACCATTGGCTTTAATCAGCAAACGGTTATTATCTGTTTTTAGTTGTTAAACAATTCAAAGGTCTTCATAAAGTAACGGGGAGATGCACACTGATGTTTAACGGGCGCTCTTACATGGCTCTACAATTTTTTTTTCTCAAGGTTGAATTCAGACTTTAATTTTAATAGTTACAAAAGATGGAGAAACTAGCACATTGAGGTTGGGGCAGGTCACAGTGAACGAGTGACTATGACCCTCGCAGTGTGATTGTGACAAGCTAACAGTACAATAGGATGTGATGACTCGAGCTTTGTTCATCTGTTATATTTGAAGCATTTTGCCTCTTTAGTGTGGTGTGGCATTAAGTGGAGTTTATTTTATGCTGCGATTAAGTTAAAACTTGAGTGTTTCCAGCTATCTTTCAGCAGTATTTGTATTGTCATTTTGTTTTTAGGCAATTTATTAATCTTTCCATGTCCAGTTTGTTCCCTAGTGATAATGTAGGGGACTGTATCAGTTGCTGTGCTTTGGGGTTGTAGGAGATGATACTTAGCTGTCAAGTTCAGTCCATGACTAAGTGTAACCAGATACATAGAGGAAGCAGCAGAAAGAAAGTCAAAGAAACCATCTTGCCCAGATGTTTTCTTGTTGCAGGTTCCAAATTAGAAAAAAAACCCTTATGTTTTAGCCAAAGCTGTAAGTATACCACTACTACTTAGAAAAAACACCTGTTGCTGTCTCTAATTTTGTCTCTGGTTTATACTTCTTCCACTTTTGCACAGTGTTAATGTGGCTGTAATAAGCTGAAAGGCCTGGGATTCTGAGATGGGGAGGGGAGGAAAGTGAAATCCAAATGGTCAAGATTGCTAGGGCTGCAGCAAGGGCTTATACCAAGACTAAAGCCCCTGACTTCACAAGGGCCAACTTCAATTAATTTAGATTAGTGGGGGAGGCACGGAGGGCCCAAAAGGTAGAGGATAATGGGAATCCACAAGGCATGGTCGTACCTTAAGGGAACGGTCCTCCAGGCTCAGTGTAACAGTCTGTGAGAGAGAAGGGGGGTAAGAGTGCTCTGAAACCCGCATGGCTCAGCAAAGGCATTCGAGAATGCTTGAGGGACAAAAGGGAGGTGTATACCTGGTGGAAGAGAGGGGCCATCACCAAGGAGGGATATTCCTCCTTGGCCCATGAGTGTAGGAGGGCCATTAGGAAGGCCAAGGCAGGGGTGGAG